TATGTCAAGAACGGTAAGTTTTATTAGCGCTACACACGAACGCAACGCTACAACTAGCAACGCAACGCTACACTGCAAACGCCAACGCTACAACTGCAAACGCAACCGCTACAACTGCAACGCAACGCTACACTGCAACGCAACGCTACACCGCAACGCAACGCTACGGCGCAACGCACGGTCACACCGCAACTTTCAACGCTACATCCGCAAGCAACGCTACACGCAACGCAACGCTACATATCCGCAACGCAACGCTACAAAAACAAAAACCGCAACGGCAACGCTACCACCGGCAACGCAACGCTACACCGCAACGCAACGCTACAAACTAGACCGCAACGCAAACGCTACATCCGGCAACGCACGCTACACCTGCAACGCAAACGCTACAAAAAACAGACCGCAACCGCAACGCTAACCGCAACGCAAAACGCTTACAACCGCAACGCAACGCTACAACGCACGCAACGCTACACCGCAAGGCAAACGCTACACGCAACGCAACGCTCAACCCGCAACGACGCTAACACCGCAAACGCCACGCTACACACACCGCCAACGCAACGCTACAACAAACCGCAACGCAAACGCCTACACACCCGCAACGCAACGCTAACACCCAACGCAAACGCTACATCCGCAACGCAAAAGCGCCTACACAGCAAACGCAACGCTACATACGATATTGTGCATTTTTACGAACTCATCTCTTCTCTCGCATCATGGGCTTAAGAAATGTCCAGGGTTTCATTCTGGAAATTCGAAGTTGTGTCGACATCTTTTGATGATAATGGTATATTTCAAAGGATCGTATGTAAACTACTTGTAGAAACCGTAGTTTTCGTTCAGTGTGCATTTTCGCTAAAAACGTGAGAACTATAAGAAAAACATGGAACGTACAATGGATGACACAGCAGTGAAATAGTTGCCGGGATGGGGGCAGGCGTGGGAAGCAATGGAAATAAAATGAGTTTTTCGATGTAGGTAGAATGAAAACATTTTGTCTATTAAATGATTAGTGCAGTTGATTAGAATTGCAGTTGATTAGAAGTGCAGTTGATGTAATACACTGAACAGAGTAGTTGAACTCGATCCTGTCAGAATGCACAACTCTGATTTTTAGGGCATATACAGTGAAATGACCACTTTGTATCGCCACGTTTTGTTGCCTCATCGATGGCTATTTTTTCATCCTTCCTTGTAGTCAACATAGCCCAAATTACGGCGCACTTTTCAGTCCAAGCGCAGGTAGTACTTCG